AGTCATATTACTACATTTTTTTTCTCTTTGCTTAGTCATGTGGGAAAACAGATGGTAATGCACAAAGAAACAACTGTAATCATAGCAGATGAGTTTTTAGAACATGAATCCATATGATAGGATAATTAGATCCTAACCATAAGGAAGCATTGACAATTTTAATTACCAGGTCAATGGGACTCTTTATAGGCTTATTTACCTAAAACTCATTCATTAACTAGCTTCTAATCTACCTTTGGTGAACCTGAACTATTTTGATTACTTCTCTTAAGGTACCTAGTTCTAATCCTCAAAGGTGTCTCTGAAGAAAGAGTTATGGTTTTTTTGCAATCTTTGTGATGCTCTATAAGGAATTCATTGTTCAGATTCTAAAGCAAACAGTTTTACTGGTTTAAGGTAGATAATGAAGAAGAAAGGAGACAGGTTGGCCTGGAAATAGAGGATAGCCTGATAATAATCTAAGCTTCTGTCAGAAGCTTCTATCTTCTATCAGATATTTAAGTTGGAGACTGTAGTTGTATCAAATATAGATATGTACTTGTACCCTAAGTATGAAATGCTAAATATTTGAACTATTCCTAAGATAGAACATATGTGGCAGGATGGCATGAAGTAGAAGTAAAAAAAAAAAAACTATTAAAAATTTTGTGTTCTCAGTAAAAGAGAACTGAGCCTAGATGCTACTCATGAACATTGGCTGCTATATTACCAGTAGCAAGACTGATCTTTTTTTATTATGAGGAAAAACAAACAAACAAAAAGCATCCAGCATTCTAAAGAATAAGCTATCTGGAAAGAAACTATATTTTATCTAAAACAGAGCAAAAAGATACTTTCCCTTCACCTCCCAAAATGTCCATGAACACAGGTAATTTTCTCTTGCTTCAAAGCAAAAGCCATTTTCAGTCCAGGTAATTGGACACTGCTTTCATCCCAGAATTTGAAAATGGTATGATAACTGGGGGGCCAAGGTGGCAATTTAGTTTTTCTGTGGGAGATCCAACTTTATATTTTTATTCCATTTTGTCCCATTACCAAAGTACGTAACACAAAGCCATGTGATAGTACTCACTCTTGGTTTCCAGAATAGAAAATTTTTTTGTGTGAAAAGAAGAGTAAAGGGAAGTTACTCTGTTTATGCCATTGTTTCAGCCAAGAATTCTCATTGATACTATTGGATTAATCCCCTTCTATCTTAACTAGAACATTGTTCCATCAAACATTTCCTTTCCCTCCTAATCACTAACTATCTACATCAATGGAAAATTCTTAAACTTTAGACTTTGAATATACTTAGATCTTTCCCATTATAAGCTAATACTTCTTTAATTTTTATTTCTTACATGTGTACATAAAAGCAATGCTAGGAATATTTCTAGATATCTATCCTTAACTCAACTAGCAAAAACAGTTTGTCTTCCTTATTATGCTTGTCTCTTTTCTTCAACAAAACTAGTGATAAAGGCAGAACAGGACCTGCCTGGAACTGAGGGGGGAAAGGAGGGAGAGGGTGGGGGAGGGGGGCAGAGGGGAGAAATGACCCAAACAATACATGCACATGTGAATAAATGAATAAAAAATAAATAAATAATAAAATAAAAGAGTTATCAAAAAAGAGCAAGAAGCACATTTTCATGTAAAGACTTGAATTTTCTTCTCATTTTTATGCATTATATTATATTTTCAATGATTGACATTTATAAATATCTCAGACAGAAACTCCAAATTTAGATTTATTTGTTTTAATTCTTAAAACTTGTTCATTTCCCATGCCCCTCTAATTTCTGAGTAAAATTTTTCACAAGATCTCAAAAAAGAAAATTAGAAAGTCATCTCTAACACTGTGACATGAGATTTAAGACATAGATTCATTCATTTTCTTTTTTATTGTTTATTCATTTATTCATATGTGTATACATTGCTTGAGCCATCTCTCTCCCCTGCTTCTTCCCTCTCCCCCAACTTCTTTACTTTCAGGCAGAACCTGTCTGCCTTCTTCTTCAACATTTCCTTGATCAACAGAAAGCAGCATGTACATGTTTAGGCAATGTTTACATAATGAATCTTCAAATGCCTTTCTTTACTCAACCACTCCATGTAATTTGAGCTGATTTTGATTTTGAAATGTCTCTTCAACCCATTTCTTCATATCCATTCTGAAGTAAAGAAATGACTCTTGGTATAGAGAAAAGGATCACTGCCTAAGGAGCAGGGAGCATCTGGGTGCAGCTTTAGAGATGGGACAATTCAGAGAACCCTACTGAGTATTCACCCAGAAAACAGATCAGGGATCAGACTCCAGACAGGCCCAGAGCACTCTTGTTGTATCATCTTTCTCATGGTGCACTGTCTGTGGCTGAGTTTCCTCAGAGTGAGAAAAGAAAGGATTCACAGCACATCGCTCAAGACCTTATAAGAGGTGGCTCATCTTTGGATAGTGTTCCTGTGACAGATTAGGTTGTTAGCTTGACTAGAGCAGTATGTGTCAGGAAACCCACAAGGGTGAGCAGAAGATAGCCATGCTATTCCATCTCCCAGAAGTAGAAAGGTACTCTTAGGGCCAAACTCTTGGCATTCCCGAAGACTCTAGGGCTCTCTTAAGTTTCTGCCTAGACTAACACAATATTTCTCCTGCCTAAATTTCAAACTGTGTTCCTCTTTTGGGGTGCCCATCAAAGGTCCTGCTTTTTATTTGCAGAGTTATTTTAGTGCACCTCCTCATGTACTCCTCACTCTCTGTCACCAGAACAACATAGTCACCGTCCTCTCCTAAGGAACTAAACCAAAGAAAACACTGTCAAACCTTAACAAACAAGAACAATAGGAAATAACCTTATTAGTGAATGATGAGTACTATTCCTTTAAAGTGAAATCCTCTCTGTGGAAGGAAGAATATATTACCTCTGGGGGAGGGTCAAGAGCTTCATTGACTCTAATCCAATACTTCCTGAGAATGAAAATAATGAATCCTGAAGTCAGGGTCTGTCTTGTTCTGCAGAGTAGAGGGCTGGGCTTTCCTTGGGCCTAGATGGAGTCAGCTAAGCCAAGCTCTCTGTAAAGCTGTCCCTTCTAAATCCTGAAGAGACCATTTCTTTTGATGAACAGAAGCTTTTTAGTTTTATGAGGTCCCATTTATCTATGCTATCTCGTAGTTGCTGTGCTGCTGGGGTTTCGTTGAGAAAGTTCTTACCTATAACTAAAAAGCTTCTGTTCATCAAAAGAAATGGTCTCTGAACTGAAGAGAACACCCACAGACTGGGAGAAAATATTTGCCAACTATACATCAGACAAAGGACTGATAACCAGAATATACAGGGAACTTAAAAAACTAAATTCTCCCAAAACTAATGAACCAATAAAGAAATGGGCAAGTGAACTAAACAGAACTTTCTCAAAAGAAGAAATTCAAATGGCCAGAAAACACATGAAAAAATGCTCACCATCTCTAGCAATAAAGGAAATGCAAATTAAAACCACGCTAAGATTCCACCTCACCCCTGTTAGAAATAGCCATCATCAGCAACACCACCAACAACAGGTGTTGGCGAGGATGTGGGGAAAAAGGAACCCTCTTACACTGTTGGTGGGAATGTAGACTAGTACAACCACTCTGGAAAAAAATTTGGAGGCTACTTAAAAAGCTGGACATCGATCTACCATTTGATCCAGCAATACCACTCTTGGGGATATACCCAAAAGACTGTTACTCCAGAGGCACCTGCACATCCATGTTTATTGCGGCACTATTCACACTAGCCAAGTTATGGAAGCAGCCAAGATGCCCCAGCACTGACGAATGGATTAAGAAAATGTGGTATCTATACACAATGGAATTTTATGCAGCCATGAAGAAGAACGAAATGTTATCATTCGCTGGTAAATGGATGGAATTGGAGAACATCATTCTGAGTGAGGTTAGCCTGGCTCAAAAAACCAAAAATCATATGTTCTCCCTCATATGTGGACATTAGATCAAGGGCAAACACAACAAGGGGATTGGACTATGAGCACATGATAAAAGCTTTAGCACACAAGGGAGGGGTGAGGATAGGTAAGACACCTAAAAAACTAGCTAGCATTTGTTGCCCTTAACGCAGAGAAACTAAAGCAGATACCTTAAAGCAACCGAGGCCAATAGGAAAAGGGGAACAGGTACTAGAGAAAAGGTTAGATCAAAAAGAATTAACCTAGAAGGTAACACCCACGCACAGGAAATCAATGTGAGTCAATGCCCTGTATAGCTATCCTTATCTCAACCAGCAAAAACCCTTGTTCCTTCCTATTATTGCTCATACTCTCTCTACAACAAAATTAGAAATAAGGGCAAAATAGTTTCTTCTGGGTGTTGAGGGGGTGGGAGGGAGGGAAGGGGCGGAGTGGGTGGTAAGGGAGGGGGTGGGGGCAGGGGGGAGAAATGAACCAAGCCTTGTATGCACATATGAATAATAAAAGAAAAATGAAAAAAATAAAAAATAAAATAAAATGTATTAAACCAGCAAAAAAAATAAAAAAATAAATAAATCCTGAAGAAAGGAAGGAAGGAAGATGGAAGAAAGGGAAAAAAAGGAAGGACTTAATTAAATACTTGTGGCTGTTGAGGCTATATACTGTAGTGAGTGAAGACAGACACTCTAGAGTCTGTGACTCATAGTACTGACTGTACTACACTGGATCTCTAATTATGATTAAACTACTCTTCTTCCCCTTATATAATTTTAATTATCTGTGAAAGTAGTACAACAATACTAGTTACTGCTCAGTATTTTTTTAAAGGATGAAATGCGATAAATGAATATAGAGCCTGCAGCAGAGTGCCTGGCACATAACACACGGTCCAATAGATGTTGATGACAATGACGACAATGATGGTGTTTTAAAATCTCGTTGGGACAGGTTCAAGCCCCACTGGAAACTAAAGTTCAACTACATCTAGAACACATACTTTCTATGTCATATATTCAGTCCTTCATTATAAGGTGCTCTGGGGTTTCAACTTGATCATGGTACCTTCCATGGCACTGTCTAGCAATTACTCCACCTCTCCAGTCTCCGAATTCCTCCTCATCTGCTTCCCTAACTATCAGAGTTGGCAGCACTGGCTCTCCCTGCCCCTCAGCCTCCTCTTCCTCCTGGCTATGGGGGCTAACACCACCCTTCTCATCACCATCCGCCTAGAGTCCTCTCTGCACAAGCCCATGTACTACCTGCTCAGCCTCCTGTCCCTGCTGGACGTCGTGCTCTGCCTCACCGTCATCCCTAAGGTTTTGGACATCTTCTGGTTTGACAACAAAGCCATAAGCTTCTCTGCCTGCTTCCTCCAGATGTTCATCATGAACAGTTTCCTGACCATGGAGTCCTGCACCTTCATGGTCATGGCCTATGACCGCTATGTGGCCATCTGCCACCCTCTGCGTTACCCCTCCATCATCACTGATCAATTTGTGACTAGGGCTGCCATCTTTGTTATAGCCAGAAATGCCCTCTTTTCTCTTCCTGTTCCCATCCTTTCTGCCAGACTAAGATACTGTGCAGGGAATATAATCAAGAACTGTATCTGTACTAACCTGTCTGTGTCCAAACTCTCTTGTGACAACATCACATTCAATCGACTGTACCAGTTTGTGGCAGGCTGGACCCTGCTGGGCTCTGACTTTATCCTTATTATTCTCTCCTATTCCTTTATCTTGAGAGTTGTGTTAAGAATCAAGGCTGAAGGTGCTGTGTCCAAGTCCCTAAGCACATGTGGTTCCCACTTCATCCTCATCCTCTTCTTCAGCACAGTCCTATTGGTTCTGGTCATCACTAACCTGGCCAGGGAAAGAATTCCCCCAGATGTCCCCATACTGCTGAACATCTTACACCACCTAATTCCCCCTGCTCTGAACCCCATTGTTTATGGTGTGAGAACCAAGGAGATCAAGCAGGGAATCCAGAACCTGCTGAAAAGCCTGTAAGAAGTAAACTTGGTGAGGCATGGCCTTGTGAACAGAAATGGGAAATGGGAAATAATTTTCATAATGCATAGGAAATTTAAATGCTGCAGGAGTAACTTTGAATTTTTCTTCATTGCTGTTTATGGCATATTCAATCTGGAATCTTGATTATTTTTAATTTTACAGAGTAAAACCTTAGTTTTTATGTGTTTTGGAACTATCTGGAAGTTCTCACTGACCCGTCAAGTCTTAATTACAGGAACTATGAAAGACATTGTTTGTCAAATAAAGAATAAATATGATTCCAATAATTTTAAATGCTTCTCCATTTCCTAAATTGTTTAATACTTATGGATGTGTTAGATTTCTTTATTTTTCCCTGACATAGCCCATTCTGGTTTTGTGCCACAAATGGGTGTCTTGTGGATGTACAAAAATTGACTCTAGAACTTTGATCTCACATGGAATGAATGAGACGTGTGATCTACTGCTTCTTCTATCCAACAGATATTATCAATATTTTTACTTAACACCAATTCTTTAGAGTATAAATTTCCTGTAGTTTTTTCCTTATTTATAATGATGTTTAAAAGTATAAAATGACTCATGTTTGTGTGTACATGCTTGTCTTTAATATCAAGTTAAATTTTCTATCTCATTCTACTTTCAGTTCTGTTGTGTCAATATTCACATCCAGAAATGACTCTGCATAGCCTTCCATAGAATTTAGGCATCTGAGTAAGCGGGTTTGTGGAATAAGGATAAGTGTATTTTACTCTTTGCAATTCTCATCCTGATCATGCCCTAAAATGCTGAAACTAGACATTGATTGATAGTTTTTGGGATTGTTTTACATTAAATAAACAGGCTTCTTTTGAGATAGTAGTGAGAACTTCCTATGTACTATTTCCTAAGAGTCACTTGAGAATGTCTCCCAATAGAGCTGATCTGGAATGACCACAGTAGTAATTCCTCACTTCTACAGTGCTGCTTTCATCAGAATAATAACTTTGATATCTCTCTTTTCTGTCTCATAGCTTCAAAGGCTGATCCTAGCCAAAATATGACTTCTCAAACACTCTTCTTTTACCAATACTTCCAGACTACTCCTAGTTCATTTTTCCAAGATACATCCCTATCTGCTGATTTTTTTAAGCCTACACTCAAGTATCCTCTGAGAAAAACCTAACAGTTGTGTCTGCACTTGACACACTATGCCCATTCTAGAAGTCTCAGTTTAAACACTGCCTGCTCCACAGTGTCCTCTTTTATTCATGCTAATGGAATTAATCAGTTCACCTTGGACCGTGAATGCATGTACAACTCCCTCTGATATTAGATTATAAACTCCTCCAAGGATGGTGAAGAGCTGTACACATGTTTTCAGCTTTAGATATTTTAAGGCTGCTAATAGAGTGCGTTCTATATTTTTGTTGAATTAAAGTGTGTAAAATGTCACAAATTGTTTCTTCCTCTGTAAACTTAGGGAAAGAATTAGGTTGTTTATATAATGTGTTTTCCAAATCACCTTACAAAAAGCCTTATGTACCTCACAGTTACATGCTTGTCTTGGAATGAGACTTTTATGTAAAACCCCTGAATATACCAATTTGGACACTTATAAGATGAATGACTTTTGACTCACTGACCTCAATGTGAGTTCCGGTTTTCTCATATAAGAATGATTAATTGTTTTCTTATTATGTATTTTTCTGGTTGTTGGATGTACTATAACTAAATTATGAGGTTTCTCACTTAGAGTCCCAAACACACTATTAATTTATAAACAGGAAATCACAGAGAACTAAAACTCCAAGTGGGGCTTATTTGGTCACAGGGGACATTCCCTGTGTCCTTTTTATTTATTTATTTTTATATTTTGCAGTTAGAACTCAGGGCCTACACCTTGAGCCACTCCACCAGCTCTTTGTGTGTTAGGTATTTTTGAGATAGGGTCTTGTGGACTATTTGCCTGGGTGGCTTTGAACCATGATCCTCATGATCTCTGCCTCCTGAATAGCTAGGATGACAGGCATAAGCCATCCACGCCTGGCTCCCATGTTCTTTTATAGTTAACTGACACACTCTACTCCTTCCACCTCAGGAAGTTCTCTTTCCTATCCTGCATATTCTATCCTGGGATGGCTGAATATTTGGGACAGCAACCAGAAAATGATCAAATGGAGAGATATGATACAGATGAAATGATCTGCCTCATTGTGACTCATTTTTTCCCTGCAACTCTATACCTATCCTCTGAGAAAATCTGCACAAAGTCCTGAGATTAGAGGCAGAACAGAGGCTTAAAATGCTGTTGACTATTAGAAGAGAGGCAAGGGATTGAATAGTTGTGTTCAAGTTATTTAATGGACACAAGGAGAAGTATCTAATTTTGTCTAGGATTGTGATACTGGGAACATGTAACACACAGACAAAATAAGACAAAAAGATTTAGGGAAATGAAATAGGGAGGGCATTTTTGGGCTGAGGAGATAACACGTGTAAAGTCACAGGAGTGAGATAAAGTACAGCTAGCTATACAGAGTGGGGCTGAAATACTGTACAGAAACAATGAAAATTGTCTATAGAGTTAATTATCAACCACAAGCCATCCATGGGAATGAGAAGGATGTTTAAAGGAGCAATAACATGACCAAATTGATGTCATTCAAATTATTCTGTAAGAAGTGCCGTGGAGGTATTTGAGGGGTTGGACTAGAGGCAGATCAGATGTTAAAAGATTCACACATCAAAGAATGTATCTATGTCTGCTTTATTTCATTCAGACAGGGCCCCTTTTCTCACACCAGCCCTGGTGCTCTTTAAAACATGTTTCTTTTATCCTTTCTTTTGGATAATTGAGTATTATTAATCTCATTTTATTTCCTGTTTTGATTTTTATGACTTTTTGGTTTTTAAAATTTTGTTTATTGCTTTGGAGTTTATAGCTTACATCATTAAATGATAAAGTGTTAACATTCAAGTGATATACTGTGTCCTACGTGGTATAACAGCCTTACACTAGAATACTTACAGGTTTGTTATGTAGTTACGATTTCTGGAATGGTTTTGTCTTTTGTGTGTTACAGTTTACCATTTGGTATCATTTGGTGAAAAAATATATGTATATTGCAATTCAAGGTTCCTGGTGATGAATGTGTTCAGATTTTTAGTATAGCTGCAGAAGACTTCTTTCTCCTTAATTAAAAAAATATATTTAGTATTGAATTCTGTTTTGACAGCATTTTTAGTATTTTAATGATATTGCCCCATATATCCACACTTAATTTTTTTTTCTGATAAGAACTCTGTTATTCTTAACTTTTTGACTTTGTAACAAATTTGTCCTTCTCTCTGAGCTGCTTTGAACCTTTTCTCCTCATGATTGGTTTTGAGCAGTTTGGTTCTAATCTACCTTGTAGTTTTCTTCAGGTTTCTTGTGCTGGGGGTTTATTGAGTTTCTTTTAAGGTCTTTCTGATTTCAATTATTATTTTCCTTCTGCTGCTCTGAAAAGATGGAATATTTAATCATTTATTTTTATTTATTTCTTACCATTCATATATAACATTTATTGAACATAACACTAAATATGTTAAATATTATATATAATATACATATATGGGTATATATTTTTGATATATATTTTGATATATATATTTTTGATATATATTTTGATATATATTCTGGGTACTCCATTCTCCTATAGAATTGCTTATGTGATATATTATTATCAAAAGTTTATAGCTTTACATTTGGATTTATTCCTTTGGCCTACAGATTATCTAGCTTTTTATTCTTTAATTTTTGTGAAGTATAGATTTTTCTAGCTACATTTATATTATTGCTTTATAATAATTCTGTTGCTGTCAAATAACATATTATGAATTATTTTAATAGTTTGAAACTTGTTGAGACATTTTATATTTCAATATTTAGTCATTTTTGGTAAATTTTTTAAAAAGCAAATGAAGATTTTACTTTTTATTTTTGATACATTTTTACTGGGTTTCATTATGCATTTTCATACATGTACGTAATCCACTTTAATCATGTTTACCCCTCCTATTTCCCTCTCTTCTCCATCCTCCCATCCTGTTTATCTGCTTCCTTTTCCCAAATAGACCCATTTCTGCTTTCATGTATTTTTTTTTTAATTTTGATTCTGCATGTGAGAGAAAACCTGAGTCTGGCTTATTTTGTTTAACATAATGATTTCTAGTTCCACCCATTTTCTTGCAAGTGCCATAATTTCATTCTTCTTTATGGCAGAGTAATACTCCCTTGTGTATACATACCACAGTTTCTTATTCATGCATCCATGGCATGCAGGCTGATTCCATAACTTGACTACCATGAATAGTGTTGCAATGAAATGGGTGTCAAGTATCTCTATTTTATACTGACTTAACATTCTTTCTGGTATATACCCAGGAGTAATATAGCTGAGTAATATGGAAGTTTTATTTTTAGATTTTGAGGGATCTCCATGCAGATTTCTCCATGCTAATTTACATTCCCACCAGCAGTATACAAGGGTTCCTTTTTCTCTGCATCCTCATCAGCAATTGTTGTTTGCTTTCTTGATATTAGCTGCCTAATTGGAGTGAGATGGAATCTCATGGTAGTGTTTTAAATTTTTAACTAACTAACTAACTAAATACTTAATGTTTTAGGGATCAAACCTATGGCCTTGTTCATATTGGGTAAGCACTCTCCCATTGAGGCACAACTCCAGACCTAAAGGTAGTTTTGATTTGAATTCCCAAAGCAGCTAAGGATGTTGAACATTTCTTTGTGTATTTGTTGGTCATTTGTACTTCTTTTGAAATCACTCTGTTCAGGGATAAGGGCATGGCTCAAGTGATAGAGTGCCTGCATAGTGGTCGTGAGGCCCTGCGTTCAAACCCCAGAACCACCACCAAAACCAAAAGAAAATAAAAGAAAACTGTATGTTAAGTTTATTTGCTCATTTATTGATTAGATTATTTGGATGTTTTGGTGTTAAATTATTTGAGATCTC